ATTTATTTAAGTCATAAATATTCTCTCTACATTTAAAATGATCTTTAAAATTCATATTTTAACACAAAATTTTTAACAAATAAAAATTAAAATACTATATTAAATATTTTTCAGAAGTTTAAATTTAAAAAAAAATTAAAATTAAAATTTTAAATTACATTCGTTTTATTTAATTAAATTTTATAAAGTTCATTTTATTTAAAATCATATTCTTATTATTATTATTTTTTATTTAAGTCATAAATATTCTCTTTACATTTAAAATGATCCTTAAAATTCATATTTTAACACAAAATTTTTAACAAATAAAAATTAAAATACTATATTAAATATTTTTCAAAAGTTTAAGGGAGGCGAGGCCGTTGTCCCCCCTTGTCCTTCATCGGCTCTGTCCTTGATCAAGATCCTCGAAACTTTGAATAAAGGGTCAATCATAGTCTCTGCAATAACGGACATAGTCTCTGTAATAACGGACTTTATGACACCGTCTATGCAAAGGTTAAGTTTGTGGTAAAAACAAACCGATTTTTTTTTTTTTAATAACGAACAGATTTATTTATGATTGTATTCTCTCAATTGAACTCATTTTTTTATGTTATTTTTAAAGAGAAAAGAAAAAAAATAAAACATTTTAATATTATAAATGTTAAAATGTTCAATCACAATTATTAAATATATAAAATATAATATAAGTTTTAAATTTATCAAATGTATCATATGACTTTTATTAGATATTTTAATATTTTTAATACCAAAATGTCTTAATTTTTTCTTTTCTCATTTTTAAATTAAATATCATGTCATTTTTTTAAAATTGAATAAAAATTATTGGTGACTTTAATTTGTCCAAATAAACTAAAATAGGACAAAATGGTCATGTCATCAAACTAATTAACAAATTTAAAATTTTCACATTAGTTTTTGTAGTTAGAAAGAAGAATTTTTGGATGACTTACCGTCCACAATAGCATTTAACTGCAGCAAAAAATTGTGTTCAGGGACCATTTTAGTATATTTGAAAGTTCAAGACTAAATTGGTGAAGATTGTAAGGCTCAAAAAGTCGGTAAGTACAAAGACCATTTTGATATTTTAATTATTTTAACCAAAGAAATAGTGTTTGGTTTGGACTTTAGCCCAGAAATTATTATTAGCCCACTAAGGAATATGGTCCAATCAAAACGAATAAAGCCCATGCCCATCGTACTAGCAAGCAGCTCTAAGTGAGCTAGCAATGTGTAACAAAAACTTGAGTCATGCCAAGATTCAAGTTTCTATAAAGACGGTAATTGTAATATTTTCTCATTTTTTAAAAATAGAAAAAGTAACTGTCAGTTTTATCTCTTAAAAATTAAGAGGAAAATCATCTTAAAACTACGTCATTTCAATAAACTTTTATTAAAAAAGATTAAACTATCTTATTTTTAAAGCATGCATTAAGATGATATTTGTAATTTTTCTTCTTAATTTTTTAGAGGTAAGGTGACCAAGCACCAATCCCTTTTTAAAATTTCTCTTGTTCAAAAAAAAAAAAAAAAAAAAAAAAAGAAAGGAAGCCCATGCCCATCAAGTACTATATATCTTTTGTGGTATTGTTTAATTCAATCCTAGAATCTGAAATCTTCCCATTGTTAATTTTCTTCCCTACTGCAAAACAATCCAACAACTTAAACTTGGAGTCTGAATTACTAACACAACCACTAAGGTTCTTGATCCCAAATAAATCAAATCGATCAGCATTATATTTCTTTTTGGCCAGGCAAAGAGAGCTCGTTCACCATTATACTGAGGGCCAAATTAATTATATGTGTAGGAAACTTGTTTGCCTAATATAACATGAATATATTCAACCTAAACTTAATCAATTGAACATATATAGGTGCAATAGCCTGCATTAGTTTTATTTAATTATACGTGTTTCTTTATTTTCTAATAAAGGATTTCCCATTTAACATTACATATCTTTATTAATTTTGCTGTGAAACAATAATTTTAAAAAGAAAAAAGATTCTATATAAAATGCTGTCAGGTACATATATATCTAAAAAATTAACTCGATAAACAACTCATTCTACTAGGAATTTGATTATGATTTAGTTGCCATTTCAGTTAAGTGCTTTTTTCATATGTAAAGTTAATAAACTAAAGTGTGGTAACAAAATTCAAAATTCTGGGCAGCACACTCCTTATTCTTCCCCCCATCATTTAAGGAATATTTATATATCTTGAATTCATCCTAAAATTTATACCAAATCACTAAACACACACCACCCTTGACAAGAAACTCCTCGTTTCTCCGATTCTCTTTCCCGACCAATTCCCCCAGAAATTGCAAAATTCTAGCTATCGTTAGCGAGGAATACTCTAAACCCACATATGAATCGCACAAAAGGTCTTAAAATCAATGAAAATCTTCCAAACGGATACACCTTGTGGACTAATTATAAAAGGCCAGGTACTAATATTGATCAAGACGATTTGCAAAAGGGTGATCAGTCTTTCTCCCTACCTTATCTTTATATAATTAGAAAAACAAGTCACTCAATTTTAATTAGTTTAAACAAACATGAATTAAGTTATAAAAAATAATAATAACAAAGATAAGGTGAGTCATGGAGATTTCCATATCCAATACATATATAATCGTAAGATATCAAGATTTAAATTTAAAATTTTGAAATTAAAATTTGAAATTATTTAATCAATTGAATTCCATTTTTAGGTGTAAGATACCAAGATTATCCCAATGCTACTACTGGTGAATATATATATAAAGTTTCTTACGTATTTGCGGGTGCTACTCGGCCAAAACGTTAAAACGGGAAATAACCGAGTGGTGAGCACTGACACTAAGCACGCCGAGTCAGGCAGCCGCCATCAGGTCGGAGTGTCGGACCACTTCGTACACAAGCCACCGTCGTCATTATTTTGACTCCTATTATTTTTTTATCTTAATTATGCAGTAGAAGGTAATTTTTTTTTATTTTTATAAAAATTATTATTAAGTTATTTAAATTATTAACATTCCTACTACTTTCGTATTTATATATTTTTAGTATTATTGTTTTTTAAATTGACCGCAAATTTCTGATTTCTAGTATTATTCAAAAAAAGAAAAAAGAAAAAAAGAAAAAACACGTACGTCCTATAAAAACTGCTTAATGATGAAGTTACAAGCTTTGCGTGGGGTATATAAGAGTCCACGTTAGATAGAATTGGTATTGTCAATTTCTGTTCTTATTTATATTATCTTTAATAAAAAAAATAAAAAAAATTAATATAAGAAACACGTACGTCCTATAAAAACTGCTTAATCATAAAGTTACAAGCTTCGCGTGGGGTATATAAGAGTCCACGTTAGATAGAATTGGTATTGTCA